CAATAAAAATGATTAATCAACCTCTCATAATTACAAAAAAATGAACAAAATGAAAAATTATGATTGGTTGAATGCGGTTTGCACGGTTTGTACAAATTGAGTGGTTTGCATTTGATCGCTCCCCTATATATATATATATATATATATATATATATATATAAGAGGAAGTGTCATTTACAAACCATGCAATGCTAACAAATTTTACAAACCATGCCATTAAATTCTCTGTTAATTTCGTCATGTTGGATGCAACCTCCAGCTCTTCATCCCATCACAGTTGTTCCAAGTGGATACAATTATATATATTTGGAATAGGCGTATGACTATTTATCCTAAAATCACAAAGGTTATATATGTATAATTATGCCACAAGCTTTTTTTTAACCAGAGATGTCCTGAAGAACAGTCATAAAAATACTCTATAATCTTGCAGAACTTGAACCGATGACTTCTCATAAGTATCCTAGTTACATATTTGACACCTGTCGAGAAAGCATGCTCATAAAAACAGTTTTTGACGTACAACATAGCGAAAGGTGCACGGGATTTTCTCCAAAAATAGGTTCACGTTTGACTCGCCTCACTCATGAATATCATTTGTGGTCCACATTTTAATAGCAGCCCATAACAACAAGATCACTCCATCAGTGTTATTTTTGTGGTCTCACTGGTCTCGTTAAAACATGTTGATTTCACGTGATCCCAAGTATATATAACTATATATATACACACACGATTGGACGAAGAATCAGGTGAAAAGCCTAAGAAGACATTTGGATCTTTGATCACTTTTAATCTCACCTAACCCATAAATTGTGCTTTTTCACGGAAATTGATCCGGTGCATTTCATTATTGTTGATCTTCAATTAAGATTTATTTAAGGACGAAGATCCCTTCTTAACCTTTTCACTATGACTTTCATTCTTACCGGAACTCAACTTTACATTAGTGACTTCAAAGTCGTGGTCGACTGCATAACCGTGTTTGAAACTCGACCAACAAAGAATTCGAACAACCTCAAAATTAATATTATAAGTTAAATCAATCGGCTTAAGAATATGTTATTGAAAAAAAAAGAACATTGATTACTATTAGAAATTAGAACCCACATTCTAGTACCAACTTGGTTAATTATTGTGTGTGTGTGTGTGTATATATATATATATACATATATATGTAGCGAACATGTACAAGTTTTCATTATTTTACTAAATATATCGATTTATTAAATCCAATGAATATTAGTGATGACTAAATTCCAGGAAATTATAAGAAAAATAGAAAAATCTGATTTACAAGATCAGAGTCGGTGAAAATAAACTCAAAAACAGCTGAAACCATGGCTGATCGGCTAAATTAAAGTCTCAGATGCAAGTCAAGTCCAAATGTAGTGTGATCAGAGCCGGGTCCATGGGATCGGCTATTAGGCTGAGGCGTAGAGCTTAACGACTCCCCTACGCCGCCTGCAGATGATGATAACGTACTCCGTAGCGGTCCACTCTGCGACGGTGAAGAGATGCATCCATGGCCAGCCGGATTGGTACGTGGAACGTAGAGCCGTGATGAAGGCGTAAAGGGGGAGGGAAGTATGATCCTGTTGGCGTGTGGGAGGAGGTGAGGTGGGGGAGTGAAGGCGGAGATGGAGATGATTGGGTTTCTCCGAGTGGCTTGAATTTGAGCTCGCTTGAGGTGCTGACGTTCTTTCTTGTGGGCGTTCTGGTGACCTCCGAGAGCCTGTGAGTTAGCGAACTCACGGCAGCAGTAGTGACACTCGTATTTTCGGGTGATGTCGGAGACAGATGGTGTTTTGGTGGCATCATCATCCTTGGCTACGTTCACGCCAAAGAGCTTTAACCTGCTGCTTGATGTGGAAGGTTTAGCTTCATACTGATCAAATTCTGCCATATATATGTATATTAATGAATCTGTATATATATATATACGGATCTATAGGTACATATAATACATGCAAGAGAGAGAGAGAGATGGGTATATATGTTGGGAGAGATGTTGCATGCGAGTATTTATAAGGACATCCGAAGAAGAGAATGAAATGAAGAAGAAGAGATGGGGACCCCAACCCACGAATCATGCACTACCAATTACCAAATACTATTTATTTATTTGTTTGTTTATTTATTTATATTTATTAAATATTGGAAATTAGAAATGCTTAAAAGGATCGTGGATAACTTGTGTAGGTTTGGCTAACAATATAAATTACATATTATAAATCAATTTTGTTATCCCTAGGTTTTGAGTGGTAACGTGCGCTTCAATTATTCTTTAAACTTTCCTTAATTAATATTGATGATTATATAATACAGGGAAGAGTTCAAACGAGATAATCTTCATTTTACAAGAACTTTAGAACATTTTTTTTACTATAGACAATCGCATATGATACATATGTGATACTAAATCAGAGACGCGAGAGATTTTCGATACGATCTTGGTTGCGGATCAAGTCGTCCGTACACCACTAAGCCTCCTCACAAG